TCTCTCTAAGCGTGTCCTCAGGTGAGAATTTTTAAAAAAAGATATGATGGTTCCATATAGTAATATTATGTTTATGTACTTATTTCATTTTATATTATATAAGCAATTACATAAAATTATTTCATAACATACACACATGTATTTCTTTGCCCTATCAGCGGATAGGGCCTAGAAGCAATGGCATTCCAATAGCAAAGAGCATACCCGCATCTTGATTCCTAGCAAAATTCTCCAATAAAAGAAACAGGGTTCCTTGGAGAAATGGTTGATTCAAGGACTGGCACAGACAATATATAAAATAAGCCTGGAGCATCTTGTAGTGCCAGAAAGGAAGGAAGTGCACCCAGAACAAACAGCAAAACTGCCATACATTGATGAGGGCTGGTCACAAGGGCTCAGGAGCCAAACAAAGAAGCTCCCTAATGGCCAAAGCTAGAACGATTTGATCAACAAAATGAAATAGTATTGGGTCATGATGCAAAATATAAAATAAATACTCGTAATTTCATATGACCTAAATGATTGAACAAACAAATAAGTGGGGAGCAGGGGAGACAAATCTCTCTTGGAGAATTTCAAGTAACTTATGTAGATACTCTGCCCTCAAGGAGGTGGAGTTTAACGCCCCACTTTTCAAGTATGGGCTACATAGAGTGACTTCCTTCCGAAGAGTACAGTATAGAAAAGGGGGTGGGAGTTGGGGAGAGTCACTTTCTAGAGGAGAAACCTCACAAACACTACCTCAGCCAGAGGATCCAGGTCAACGTCGGCAATGATAAGTCATGCTGATCCTCTGCATCCCTCGTATGAGGTAATGGAAATGCCTCTGTGCTGTCCCTCCCAGAAACCCATAACGCTAGTTTAACTATGAGTAAAACCAGACACATTCTCATAAAGAAACATCCTAAAAAATATTTGGCCGGTACTTCTCAAAACTGTCATGATCATCAAAACAAAGGAAGTCTGAGAAATTGTCACAGCCGAGAGGAACCTAAGAAAATATGACAAGTAAATGTGATGTGGTATCCTGGAACGCAGGATACATTGATTGTACAACTTTTTAGGATCCGTAGTCCTCTCTTTCAGTCCTGATATTGACAATTTGTGACTTCTCCCTTAAAAAGGATAATGAGGGCATGTGAGGAACAACCTCTGCCAATAAATGTATTGAGAAGTGATATCAGGTAAAAACTAAGGAAATTGGAACAAACTGTTGACTTTAGTGAATAATCATGTATCACTGTTGTTGTTTATTAAATTGTGGCAAATATACCATACAAGTTTAAGATGCTCCTTAGTAGAGGAAACTGGGTATGAGGTATATGTGAATGGTTTGTACTATCTTCTCAATTTTTCTATGAAACTGCCCTAAAAATAAATTTTTTTACTTGTTTCCAGCAGAACCTAGTGTCTTGTGAATCTTTCCAGAAATACTTTATCTGTGGAGATAGTCTCCACTCACCCCTCCCTTTCCTCTCTGCTCTGTGCCTGAAGACTGGCTTTAAGGGCAATCAAGCGCCTTTGCTTGCAGGCTTCTTCCTGTGGAGTTTGGGCAATGGAGAACGGGGAAGTACCTACCAGCAGATCAGAGGTTGGAGGAAGAAAGCAGGGGTATTTATTTTCCCAGCTCCTTCCTGGAATTACCAGCAGTTCCATTCTTCTACTGAAGGGCACAGTTCCTGTTGGGCAGCCCTCTTCATCAGCACGCTGGGTTCTGGTAACAGCTCCCTCCCTCTGCCCCTCCTGCTAGGATTGCTGACAGCCCTCTTCTCTGATGTGAGGTGACTAGACAGCTGAAAGCTCCCTGCAGCTCGCCCTGAGGTGCTCCACCGTGCCTTGTTGGTTTTCGTTGGCCCTTTCCACACTTTTATAAAGAGTCTCTTCATTAACTTTATCTTGGTGTGTTATCTATTGTTTACTAGGACTCTGATTAATATAATACACAAATTCATATTCCCTTCTATATACAAATATGAGCATATTATACTATTATGCATATTGTTTTGCACCTTACCATTTTTTCATCTATAACAGACTTGAGGTTTCTTCCCATGTCCATATATGACAATTCACTTAGTTAGTATCCCATTTTCTATGGATATCATGTTTTCATGTATCATATAGAAAGAGAGTTAAAAGCTGAACTTAGCAGAGGGACCCTGAGGCCTGGGTAATAAGTAGTAAGATTACCCATGAGTAATAAAATTGACTAGAAGTTCTGAAATAGTGGTGAGGTGAACTGAGGTTGCTAAAACCCCAGATACTTTTACAGAAGTTAAGAGAATGGGCTTTGGAATCAAACTGCTTGGGTTCATATTCCAGCTCAGCCCTACTGTGTGACCTTGGGCAAATTACTTAACCTTTCTGTGTGCATGTCCTCATCTGTAGAATGGGAATAACAATATTCATCTCAAGGTAATACTTGTGCTCAAAGGTAGTTTAGTTTTCAAGTCAACTTTCAAGTCAGGCCCCACTGGGCAACATGGTACATCCCAGTGAATATGCTATGAGCCTCCATCTGGGTCTCTCTCCCCATTCCCGATCCTTCAGTTCTTTCTCCTGAGTTCCCCTCAGCTTCTTCTTTTACTCTTTCTTCTCTGCTTATCTCACCCATCTGTTCCATTGTGCATGATAGGTTTTTTTCTCTATTGAGATTTAAGATTCATTTTTAAATGAAGAATTAGACAGTAGATTCTAGGGGTAATTGTGTGTTTACTAATGTATAGTTCAATAGAAGAGGTACGGATGAATTTTAAAAGCATTTTCTTTAAAGCCAAGGAATTGTTAGCCAGCAAAAAGAGAAGACAAGCTGCCTCGAGTGACCTGCTGCTGCCTTCTACCAAAAGTGGTTAGTTTTCTTGCCTGAATCAACTTCTGCTCAGGTCCCCATGAGTCACCTTGACTGAGGAGAACTTTCTGAGTGTCTGACACCCCGAGTATCAGAAAAATAAGGTAACTAATTCCCCATGCAATAGTTAGAAACTATTGAATAAATTCTAAATACTAAGAATTTTCTTTTACAGGTGTCATTAAAAAGCATACTGTCCAATTTTATTCAGAGGATAAATTGTTCTTCAAAGAGTTTAAAGTATTTTTTATTTTTTCTCTTCACGTGAGTTCAAGCATTTTACAGAAGAAAAGGAGCCCCTTATCATCCTCCTGTGATGTCTCAAGGGCTAGTTGCTTCCCTTTTTAAGTTCTCCTGCTTCCACTCCCTAAATGCTTAGTTTTACTATTTTTTAGGTATATAATCACCTTTATTATAATTCATAAATATATTAGAAATGGATCTTAAAAACAACATCTAGGTTCTTGTGGACTGTGTTTTCTGTTCAGCTACACAATTAGAAAGCCAACTCTGAGGATGAGAAAGCCTAAGTATAATTTTAGTTCCTTTTTTTTGTCTCATACATTCTGAAACATTCTCTGGGCCTTCTAGGTCCAAGCACCACACTGTCTTAATAGACCTGCCCATGCTCAGGGCTTCCTGTAATTACTTTGACAAAAAGATGAGGCGGCTCCTCTCCTTTCCCCAAATGAAGTTATTTGGAATCTTGACTGAAAGCAAACACCAGGTACTCTAAGCAAAGGTCTTGCCCTAAAAGCTAAATGCCTGGTTTTAATGGCCACAAGCTCCTGAGGACTCCATGTTCGTTATCTCTGGATCTGACTTACCTGGATTTCAACCACCCTGCTTTCCTTTTTGTTTTTCAAGCCCATCAAGCTCTGTCCTGACTCAGAGCTTTTGCCTTTGCTGTTTTGTTTTCCAAGCAAATGAGTGGATTAAAATACTGTGGTACATCTACACAATGGAATACTACATGGCTGTAAAAAGAAAGAACTCTTACTATTCGAAACAGCATGGATGGACCTAGAGAGCATTGTGCTAAGTGAAATAAGCTAGTCAGAGAAGGATAAGCATATGTGATTTCACTTATTTGTGGAGTATAATGAACAACCTAAACTGATGAACAAAAATAGATCCAGAGACATAGAAACATTGAACAGACCATCAAATCTCAGAGGGAAGGCAGCTTAGGGCGAGGGGGGATAAGAGAGCAACCAAAGGACTTGTATGCATGCATATAAGTATAACAATGGACACAGACAGTAGGGAGATGAGGGCATGACTTTTTTTATGTAAAATAGCATTGTAAACATTGGAGCTTACCAATACTTTCAGCACTTCTTTCTGACCTAGACATTTGAGAGGACTTTGTCCACATCCTTGAAGTTAGGCATGACTATGGCACTTACTTTAGCCTCTGAAATATGAGTGAAAGTTACACATTGCTTCTGGATGGAAATATCTAAGAGAAGGCACACAATTCTCCTTGTTACCTTTTTTTTTTTTTTTTTTTTTTTTTTACTTTCTGTATTCCAGGTTATCATTTGTTGAGGTGTAGATGTCTAAGATAAAAGAGCCTGGAATGCTGAGCCATCATGTGGAAGAAAACTGCCCAGAGAGTCATTAGATCTACAGCAAACTCTGAGCAAGGAAGAAAATAGAAGAAAAAGTGCTGGAAGCTGGTCCATCCTTGCTGCTTGTCATAGTCGCTGCAGGGAAGAAACATCTGCACAGCATACGTTTCAAGGGACCTGGCATATATGGCATACTGTTCTTAATATGTTTGCTCCCCTTCTTGGCGCTATGTGTTTTAACCAAGGTCACCTCTCCCAGAAAGGTTGTTTCCCCAAGTAGGGATTTTTCCCTGAAGTTAGGGAGGGAATAAAACCCCTTAACTAAGTGCCAGGCGGGTAGTTAATCACTTTAACTATGAACAATCACGCTTAAGCTACATAATCTTTACTCCCTGGAATGGAGATAAGAAACGCCCTAACCTTTGGAATAGAAATTGACAGGATTAAAATCAACTGGTATAAATACAGATGTAACAAGACAATAAAACACAGAACTTGGAACCTTCTCCAGAACAGGGTGTCTTGGGAACTCACCTGGCTGGGGAGACTTCTGGAAGACTGCAACCACACATCAAGGCTTGATCCTTGAGCTGACGTCTTCCTATTTTTCCTGCTACGGAAAGCCCTGGATGTGCTCATTAGGTGAGTGCACGATTGCCCATTTGCACTATTCTAAAGAGAAACAGCGGCTGCGGTGGCCCCAGAGAAGAACGAGAGGGTGAGCGAGTGCTGTGCTCCCGGGCCGGCCTGGCCCCCTCTCCTCATCATCGCCAGCCCTCTGCCGCCTTTCTCCGCTTCTGCCTGTTCTCCTCTCCCCCCCAAGTGGAGGCCCCCTCCGGGGCGGGCAGGACCAGGAGTGAATTCCCCTAACTCCTTCACCCTCTCCCTGTACCTGGCCCCCTTGTGAGGAGAAGGCCCGGCCCTGTCCAGCCCGCGTCGTGTGTGAGGACCACCCGGGCCAGCCCACAGTTGTCTTGGGCCTGGTCCAGCTCGGCTGGTGTGTGAGGACTGGAGCCCCGGCCAGGCGCCGCCACCGCCACCGCCACAATGGCCAGCTCCCAGAAGGCCCTGATGCTGGAGCTCAAGTCCCTGCAGGAGGAGCCGGTGGAGGGTTCCCGGATCACCCTGGTGGATGAGTCCGACCTCTACAACTGGGAGGTTGCCATCTTCGGACCCCCCAACACCCTCTACGAAGGCGGCTACTTCAAGGCGCATATTAAATTTCCTATTGACTACCCATATTCACCACCTACCTTCAGATTCTTGACCAAAATGTGGCACCCCAACATTTATGAGAGTGGACATGTATGCATTTCAATTCTTCATCCACCCGTAGATGCCCCACAGAGTGGTCAACTGAACTCCGAAAGGTGGAATCCTACTCAGAATGTCAGGACTATCCTGTTAAGTGTCATCTCATTGCTTAATGAGCCCAACATCTTCTCCGCAGCCAATGCGGATGCTTCAGTTATGTTCAGGAAATGGAGGGACAGTAAAGGAAAAGACAAAGAATATGCTGAAATCATTAGAAAACAGGTTTCAGCCACTAAAGCCGAAGCAGAAAAGGATGGAGTGAAAGTACCCACGACCCTGGCAGAATATTGCATCAAAACGAAAGTGCCTTCCAATGACAACAGCTCAGATTGGCTTTATGACGACTTGTACGACCTTGACATTGAGGATGAAGAGGAGGACGAGGAGGAAGATGCTGACTGTGATGACCATGATGATTCTGGGAATGAGGAGTCGTGACCTGCTCCTTCGAAGCCCCTGTACTGCCCTGCCATCTCAGGCCAAAGGGAGAGGAGCAAGTGGGGACCTAGCAGTGGCCCCTCAGCAAAACCCTATCACGGGGGGTGGGGAAAACAAACATGGCTCCTGTTGACTCCCCTTGTGGATCTCAGTTGGCTCCTTTTTATTGACCTCTTAATGGAGGGAAGGTAATTGTGAACGAAAGGGGCCACATGCTGACCTGACAAGCTCAGGGGAGGCCTGCATGGCAGTCTGAGAGACCTAAAGTAACCACAAAGGATAGTCTGAAATTAAACTTTAACTCAGAGCAGTTATGGTGGGCAGTTACGTCCTAGACCGGTATCTTCACTGACAAGGTCATCCTTTACCTTAACTGAGCCTATCTGTCTTTTTGCATCTATGATAACACATCCTTGAAATGTCTGGGTAACTTGTAACTTCCCTTTTTCTGGAGCCCCTGGGGCACAACCAAATGTGCTGGGTGCCAGGACAGATACCACAAACCCCTTCATTATCATGTTAATTGATCCTGCACCCACCTAAGTGTGTGTCCATGATTTTACTTTTATCCAATCCCAGGGGTTTCCCTGCTTTGCTTTATCCCTCCTCCTTCATCTATCACCAATGAATTTCATGTAACCCACTTATGTCCCTCCTTTGATTGCAAATGTATAAATACAAATGTAACCCACCATTCTCCGGAGCATTATCTCAATTCGTTGAGGTCCTGCTTCCGGGCATATGTCGACAGTTTGGCTCAAATAAATTCACAAAAATTCTTTACAGGTTTCAATGGTTTTTTTTACGTTAATACTGAGTAAATAAATGTATGGATGAGTGAATGAATGAATGAATGAAATACTTAAACATGCAACTCAGGATAACACAGCCCATCACTATTTACTTGGAACATTCCTCAAGTGTCCCTCTTCGCTCTCGATGAACAAACCATAGAGTTCCTGGGATAAAGTATGCAAGGATAACTTCAAAAACTTATTATTTAAGTTTCAGACCCTCAAATTATTCTTTGTTCAGAAAACGGTGCCATTATTTCATGCTAGTGAGTAACAAATTTATTCAACCAAATATCAAATTTGAATTAATATTAAAGATTGTGGTATTCCCTCTACTATCTGAGACATTTATTGAATTATAGTATATAAAAATAAATATTTATTGACACTGAAATTTGCTTTAAACTTGGAATAGATTGCCACATAGGTTTAGAAAGAATTCTCTTGTTTAGTGTTTTTTTTAAAGAATGGATTCTCATCTTTTAAGACTAGTTTCCTAAAATAAATAAACAAATAAACTAGTTTCCTTTCTACTTGATGATTTCTTAAGATCTCATCATTAAATAATCAATAATTTAACAAGTTTTTTTCTAGTACCTATTACATTGTCATAATTTGCCAAGGTATACTGGCAAGGTATCCTGGAAACAAAAGAAGACTTGTAATTTTACTTACTTGAAATTCTTCTGATTAGATAACTTTTTAAATTATATTTTTTAAAAGGAAGAAAAAAAAGAAAGTAAAAATCTGCCCCTTGGACCAGAAAAAAGAAGCAAGACTGACTACTTGCTCTAAATTTAAATTAACACAGGACTCAATTAAACCATTCCTGTGACACACAGAGTCACTCAAAAACTTATATCTTATACATATACTAGAGGACCCTTGCAGGAAGATTTCTGCAAGAATAGGGCTTCCTGTGTCCTGAAGCTTTCTTCTCTGCAGCTTCGCTCCCTTCTGCAGTGCTTGGCTTCCTTCTACATTGTCTTCAGTCTTCGCTCCGAGTGCCTGTGTATGCAAATTAACCACCATCTTTGCATACTCATCTGATTGGCTGGTGGGCATAGTGGAGTGACACCAATTTGCATGTTTCTCTTTTATTAGTGTAGATATCCACAGTTTATCAGTTCTAGTATGCCATTAATTGTAAAACTCACAATTATTTTCTGAACCACTAAGAAAGAAAAAACGCTGCCAATTGAACCACAGCGTACCATCAATTATGAGTCCTGATAAAATGTGAAAAATGTGTATTTTAGAATCAGTGAAATAGGGCATAGATTTTGTGACCATTTGATGAATATTTGTTGCACCCACATATATGAGACCATGGTCTATGCTTCCTTTGTTCATTATTGTACCATGGCCAGCACTAATAAACTCTTAATAAATCTTTGAATGCACGTGTAGATCTAATAGTGAAGTTTGCCTTACACACAAAGTGCCTAAGTGATAAATTAAAAAACACATTTAAAATCAGCACTAACTGCTAAGTATGTGCTGGAAAGTAACAATTTATTTTGAAGTGATATATATCTCCTTGAAAAGAAGTCCTGGAAATGATTAAATTATCATTAAAAAAGAAAGAAAGAAAGAAAGAAAGAAAGAAAGAGAGAAAGAAAGAAAGAACTGCCCACCTCCATGGGAAACAGGCAGAACTTGATTTGTAAAGCTTAAGTGAGTAATTTGAGGTGTTTGATATAACAAGTAAATTGGGTGGGGAAAGCAAGCTGTTTTCACCTCCTACTCTTCTCTGTTTTTAAAAGACAGCCAAATTCAGATCTAGGAGAAAAGCAGTTCTATACTTTTATAGAAACCTGTGAGGGAGATGTCATTCTGTCCATGCATTTAACAGAAGAAAGCAGACTCTTCACCTAAGTCCATGCAGGACTTATTATTACAGTGCGGTAATTATGAAATAGAATTCCCACATAGAACGATGCTGTTCAAAGAAGAATTCTGTCTGTTCTCCAAGGGAAGTGACACACTTGACTCCTGGTGTTATTTGAAAGCCTATTCTTTCCTCTGCCTTCTGACACTTCTACCACCCTCCTCATTCCTTGGAATCACCACCACCACCACCATCAAATCATCACCCAGTTCTGGTCCAAAGTGGTCCACGGAACCGACTGGACCAGACCAAAAGTGTCAAAATAGGAGTAACAGGGAGCAAAAATGGCTATCAGAAGGGGATAAGAGTCATATTTATATTTGCACAGGATGCCTCTTAAGAACTCAAGGAAGCATTGTGAATCCTCCAGCTGAGTTACTGTGGACCTCAGTATGAATGAGTTAATAGTATTGGGTCCAGGCAGCTGTTGACAAAGTTAACAAAAATTCATATGAACTCACCTAGACAGATATTTGTGACATAGCCTTAATTTTTTTAAAAAGTTGCACACCAATATGTATTGTATTTTTAGTTTTTTAAAGAGAATCTGTGGGCTCGTCCTGGCCGGTGAGGCTCCGGTGCTTGGGCCTCCTCCTGTGTACTGAAAGGCTGCTGGTTGGATGCCAGGTCAGGGTGCATGCCCCAAGTTTGGTTGGATCAGATTCACTCTGCACGGATGTTTCTCTCTCACTCACTCTATTTCCTCTCTCTGTAAAAATCAATAAACTATTTTAAAAATCTTTGGGCTATAAATATATCTGTTAGAAAGCATTAATGGTTGAAGGGAGTCAAAGTGTCCTCAAGAAGATTTTGTCTAGTGAGGGAGATAAGACTTGTATGTAAATAAAATTATGATACTAAGATGGATAGTAAAAGACAGTTTAAAAGAGGATCAGCTCTCCTCTCTCTCTCTCTCTCTCTCTCCTCTCTCCTCTCTCCCTTTCCCCCCTTCTTCCCTCTCCCCTCTCTTCTACTCTCTCTGAAAAGCAATGGCAAAAAAATGTCCTCAGGTGAGGGTAAACAACAACAAAAAAGAGAGAATCTGATAAGGTACCAAGAGAATCCAGAAAAGAAATAAATTTAATCTGAATGAAAGCATCAAGGAATGTTCTTAACTGGGCTGTAAAGATGTGTGTGAGGGTTTACAGAGTGGGTACAGTCAGAATCCACTTAAAAAAAACATCCTCTCCTCACCCTCGCTGGTTTCGCTCAGTGGGTAGAGTGTTGCCTTGCTCACTGAAGGGTCCCGGGTTTGATTCTGGTCAAGGGCACATGCCCACGTTGTGGACTTGATCCCCAGTAGGGGGCGTGCAGGAGGCAACCCATCAGTGATTCTTTGTCATCATTGATGTTTCTCTCTCCCTCTCTGATGTTAATAAAAAGATATTTTAAACAAACCCTTTCAGTGTAGTTGAGTTCCACATACAACAACAATGTGCTTATAGAAATGCATGTACACTATGGATAGCTGCGTACTATATATGTCTCCGTATCCTATATAAGAAAAGGGTACTATGATGCGCACTTACCACCAGGGGGCAGATGCTCAATGCGGGAGCTGCCCCCTGGTGGTCAGTGCGCTCCCACAGGGGGAACACTGCTCAGCCGGAAGCCCAGAAGCTGGGCTCACAGCTGGTGAGCACAATAGCAGTGGAGGCAGCCTCTCCTGCCTCCATGGCAGCGCTCCTGAGGGCTCCCGGACTGCAAGAGGGCGCAGGCCGGCTGAGTCCTCCACCATCGAGTGCATGAATCCTGTGCACCAGGCCTCTACTGTGTGTGTGTGTGTGTGTGTGTGTGTGTGTGTGTAATGTATAATATATATAACATATATATATATATGTTTAGTGTCACATATCAATTTATTAATAAATGTATTTTAAAAAATCCTCACCGAGGATATTTTTCCATTGATTTTTAGAGAGAGTGGAAGGGAGAGGGAGAGACAAAGAGAGAATCATGGATGTGAGAGAGAGACACATCAATTGGTTGCCTCCCACTCTTGCACTCCGACCAAGGCCAGGGATCTAGCCTGCAACTAAGGAATGTGCCCTTGACTGGAATCAAACCCGGGACCCTTCAGTCCGGGGGCAGACACTCTATCCACTGAGCCAACCGGCTAGGGCTAAACGTACATTTTAATAACTTACAGAATCTTAAAGGAGACTGCAAACTCCATCATAGGATGTTAGTAGCATTCCTGGCCTCTCTTCACTAGATCTCAGTAACATTCCCCCCAGGGATGACAACCAAAAATGTCTCTGGACATTGCCAAATGTTTCCTGGAGGACAAAATAGTCCTCAGTTATGAACCAGGCCTAAGAATTAAGAATTAGTTCTTAATTCTTAT